TGTGACGAACAAGAGCAGGAGCCACGAGGGCCGGGTCGGGGAGGTGACGGGGCCGGATCCTGTGGGACTTTGAAGGCGGTGGAAGGGAGATTGGATTTCATTCGTTCTGTGCGTTCATCCGTGCATCCGGTGAATACAGAATGCCTCTGAGGCACCAGGAACTGTGTTAGGAATCAGGACCAACAAGATGTGGTCCCTGCCTTTGGGAGACCTCACCTACCAGGGACCGGCCCGTCCTCTGGTGAGGCCACGCCTCTGGAGAGATTCAAATAAGTCGCCCCTCCAACCAGGGCCCAGGAGGGCAGTGGTGTGTCAGGAGGATCATTCTCGGTCCCTTCTCCCTTCAGGTTCCTGCCCATGAGACATCTCCTCTCCATTCACAGACAGACGGAGACAGAGGGAGACAGGGAGACAGAGACAGACAGAGACAGAGGGAGACAGACAGAGACGGAGACAGGGAGAGACAGAGACAGAGGGAGACAGAGATAGAGGGAGACAGACAGAGACAGAGACAGACAGAGATAGAGGGAGACAGAGAGACAGATAGAGGGAGACAGACAGAGACAAAGATAGAGGGAGACAGGGAGACAGAGACAGACAGAGACAGAGGGAGACAGACAGAGACAGAGGGAGACAGGGAGAGACAGAGACAGAGGAAGACAGAGATAGAGAGAGACAGAGACAGAGGGAGACAGAGATAGAGAGAGACAGACAGAGACAGAGATAGAGGGAGACAGACAGAGACAGAGATAGAGGGAGACAGAGAGACAGACAGAGAGACAGAGACAGACGGAGATAGAGGGAGACAGAGACAGACAGAGATAAAGGGAGACAGAGAGAGACAGAGACAGACGGAGATAGAGGGAGACAGAGACAGACAGAGATAAAGGGAGACAGAGAGAGACAGAGACAGACAGACAGACAGAGACAGAGATAGAGGGAGACAGAGAGAGACAGAGACAGACGGAGATAGAGGGAGACAGAGACAGACAGAGATAAAGGGAGACAGAGACAGACAGAGACAGAGACAGAGATAGAGGGAGACAGAGAGAGACAGAGACAGACAGAGATAGAGGGAGACAGAGACAGAGATAGAGGGAGACAGAGAGAGACAGAGACAGACAGAGATAGAGGGAGACAAAGAGAGACGAGACAGACGGAGATAGAGGGAGACAGAGACAGACAGAGATAAAGGGAGACAGAGAGAGACAGAGACAGACAGATAGAGGGAGACAGAGACAGACAGAGACAGAGACAGAGATAGAGGGAGACAGAGACAGACAGAGACAGAGACAGAGATAGAGGGAGACAGAGACAGACAGAGACAGAGATAGAGGGAGACAGAGAGACAGAGACAGACAGACATAGAGGGAGACAGAGAGGAGCAGCAGTTGTTCTACTTGTTCAGGCCCATGGGTAGGTCCTGTGTGCGCCCTGACCCGGGTTCCAGCTGGGCGTGCTGGGACGGGGCTGTAACCTGAGCTCCCGCGGGCCTGTGTTAGTTCTGCACAAACACCGGCTGACAGCTGAGCTGTGAGGGGAGGGGGACCGCAGAGGCGGGGGCCAGAGGGGTTTGACAGAAACAGCTTCGCGGGGGATCTCGTGGCAGATTCCTAGCCGGGAAGCAGGCTGTGGGCAGTCACGCCCCAGGCACATGGCGTTTTCAGGAAAAGGTCTCTCTTTGCCCTGAGCAAGCCTGCCCGTGTTTTTGGTAAGCAAAGCCTCCTTCTGGAGACACGTGATCTTGTCTCCTGTCCTGGAATCCAGCCCTCCTCCTCCGCATCCTCCACGTTCCCGCCTCCATGTCAACATCTTTTAAGGTCTTGCTCCAGGCGTAGGTCGTTGTTTTGGGCTCCAGTGAACCGACAAGAATCCTCTGCAGGACTGACGGACTGACAGACCCAAAGAATTAACCCGTGCAGGGGCGAGGAAGCGAGGCTGGGAGAGAGAGGACAGTGTTCGGAGTTCTAACAAAGAGGGCTTGTCCGTTGGATTGACAGAAGGAAGTTGGGTGGGATGGGGCGGGGGTGGGGTGGGGTAGGGTGGGGGGGGGGGGAGCAGTGCAGGGGAGGTAACCTGAGACCCGTAGGCCTTGTTAGGCTACAAAGGAGCTTGTGCTCAATCCTGAGGACAATGGACGAGGATTTCAGAGGGACATGCCATTCGCCTTGGCTCATGTGTTTTCCTCTGCCTGTGCAGCCGGCCCCTCCTTGCGTCTCTTGTTTGCTCAGTCCTACAACCCCTGATCCTCCCGCCTGGCAGGGGGAACCCCTCCCCTGTAAGCCAGCCTCGCCCCCGCCCCACCTCCTGCAAAGCCCCATCTGGAAATACGGGTGGGGAACTCAAGAAAAACATTTTAGCCGAAACCGGTTTGGCTCAGTGGATAGAGCGTCAGCCTGCAGACTGAAAGGTCCCGGGTTCGATTCCGGTCAAGGGCATGTACCTTGGTTGCGGTCTCATCCCCAGTAGGGGGTGTGCAAGAGGCAGCTGATCGATGACTCTCATTGATGTGATGTTTCTAACTCTCTATCGCTCTTCCTTCCTCTCTGTAAAAAATCAATAAAATATATTTTAAAAAAATAGAAGAAGAAGAAGAAGAAGAAGAAGAAGAAGAAGAAGAAGAAGAAGAAGAACATTTTAGCTTCATAGGCGGGGTCAGTGCTGGGTGGAGGGAGCTGTGGTCCCAGGGATGGAATGTGTGACCCGCCTCGCCCCGCCTGCAGGAGACCCACCTCCGGCCTCACCTCCCGCCCCAGGAGGACAGCAGGGCCGGAACCGGGTGCTCAGTCTCCGCACTGTGACTGCTGTCTGACCTGCTGCTCCCTCCCCATCCCAGGCCCTTCACTACACTTCCTTCTCTGTATGAAGGGGAGAGATGCACGGTGGTCTATTTAGGGTATCCGCCGCCCTCTCAGCTCGCTGCCCTCTGAGTGACGTGCCCACCATGATCCCATCCTTGTCTCTCCTTACGGCTCTGGTAATGAACGCCGACTTTTCCGTTTCAACCTCATCTCTCTTCCCCCGAAGTGGACGGACTCACCTTATACTTTGTTTGTGGGGAGCAGGGCAGGCTGGTGGTTAGCAGTGAAGGAGCTGGGGCCAGAGGGCCAGGCCTGGGAGAGCGGAGTACCGGCCGGCTAGAGGTTGGGTGACCTGCCCCTTAGACCTGCAGGCGACGGCGTCTGCTGCCCACGGCGCCCTGGGGATGGCGCCCAGCACGGCTCTCAGGGCCTGGCCCTCCTCTCCCACCCCTCTGCTCTGGAAGCTTCTCGCCCACAGTGATCGTGGCCATTGTCCCTGCCCCCTAGGCTCCTCGCACAGGACCTGCAGGGTGGGTGCTGGGGAAGCAGCCAGGACCCTGCTGTCGGCGGGGAGTGGAGGGGAGGGGGTGGAGGTGCCCAGCAGCTCCTCATTCAAACATCTCGGTTCCAGTTCGGCTGTCAGGGCGTGACCTCCCCCGCCGCCTCCTCTCTCAGCTTCACCTCTTCCTTGTAAAGTCAGCGTCTGCTTCTTCCGGGAGGGGCATGTGGCCTGGCCTGGCCAGTCACAGCACTGACTTCATGGGCTGCAGCTCAGAGTGGTCCTGGGACACCCGTGCGGGGCCCTGTGAGAATGACTCTTGGCCGAAACCCGTTCGGCTCAGTGGATAGAGCGTCGGTCTGCGGACTGAAAGGCCCCAGGTTCGATTCCGGTCAAGGGCATGTGCATTGGTTGTGGGCACATCCCCGGTAGGGGGTGTGCAGGAGGCAGCTGATTGATGTCTCTCTCTCATCGATGTTTCTAGCTCTCTATCTCTCTCCCTTCCTCTCTGTAAAAAAATAAAATAAAAAAATAAAAAATATATATATATTTTTTAAAAAAAAGAAAAAAAAAGAATGTCTCTTGGCAATGTGACCGACGCTACGGCTATGGGAAAGACAGGCTCCCTCCCTCCCCCTCTCCCCCTCCCCCGGGGCCGGAATGGGGAAGAGTGTGGCTGTGGTGACTGAAGTCATCTGTGGCCACGGGGGAGGACATGGGGGCACGGAGGGCAGGAGCCGGAGGCAGGACAACAGGGGGCGGAGTGGAGGCAGCACCTCAGCACTGGGACGGAGAGAAACGTTGACATCACTGGGAGCCGAAAGGGCCCTCGCCCTGGACTTCTCGGCTGTGTGCACTCATCCGCACCCTTGGCTCACTCCAGTTTGACTGGTTTCCTGACCCGGAACGTGGCCTGTGCCCGGGCGCACCGGTCTGCCGCGGCCCCTGCCACACTGACCTCCTCACGGCCCGCCCCTCCCCTCCTGGCAGAGCCCTGAGTGCAGGCCGCGGAGCTCGGCTCAGAGGGTGAGCCAGTGCTGAGCTGGGCTCCTGTGGCCACCCCGTCCCTTCTGCCAGCGACTGGCTCGGGGTAAACATTTGGGTCAATGAGGTAAACGTGTCTCCTGAGCTCCTGGGAGAGACCTGAACCGGCCAAAGAGGAGGCAGGTGAGGAGCCTGGTGCCCCTGCTCTCCACACACGGCCCGAGGGGAGACCTGTCAGAGATGGCCGAGGGGAGACCTGTCAGAGATGGCCGAGGAAAAAGGGACATGCTGCCGAAACCAGTTTGGCTCAGCGGTAGAGCATCGGTCTGCGGACTGGGGAGTCCCAGGTTCAAGGCAGGGGCATGTGCCTTGGTTGTGGGCACATCCCTGGTGGGGGGTGTGCAGGAAGCAGCTGGTCTATGTTTCTCTCTCATCGATGTTTCTAGCTCTCTCTCTCTCTCTCTCCCTTCCTCTCTGTGGAAAATCAATAAATTAAAAAAATAATAATAAGGGAAATCCTGTGGGTTTTACAGCTGAAGAGATCATTGTGAAGTCACGTGTCTAGACTGGTTGTGAAGTCAGAGAGTAGACGTTTATGTCAGTTAAACCCCTGCGTGTTGGGTGTTAGCGTTTGCAGCCACGGGCATTCCCGGTTGATATTAGCAGTCTAAGTGACGTCGTCATTTAATTCCTCATCGAAGGAAGCGCACAGGCTGAGAACACCAGCTCCTTTATTATTATTATTATTCACTGTTATTGTTTCCCCTAAAGAACAGCACAATTCCGAAAACAACGACACACACGTCATCCCACCCGCAAGCACAGTACCGCGTCCTGCCCGCCAGGCCGCCTGGCTCTGCTTGGTTCCTGGCGGGGCTGTCCGGAGACAGCCCCCTCTGTAAACCCCGACGGGGACAGACACGAGGAGGGGGACTTCAGGAGAGGGTGAACGGAGGGGCTTCCGGACTCCGGGGGCCTGCGAGCTCGTGGCGGGTGCCAGGCGAGGGGAGGGCGGTCTGTGTCCATGTGGCCGGTGGGGAACTCCCGGCGGGGAGAGAGCCGGGCTGTGGCCTCTGAGGCCAGGACTGCGGAAACACAGTGGGGTGAGCTCCCGGGGAGCGGGGGGGGGGGCCCAGGCACGAGCATGGGGGCCCAGAATAGGAATCTGGGGGAGGCGAGGTCCCCAGAGAAAAGCAGCCCTGGCGAGGCGAGATGCTGCGTGCTCTGCAGCTGTTGGATGGACAGCGTTTTTATCAAGACAGAAAAGTAAAAGGAAAACACTTCCAGCGTTTTTGGCCTAACGCCGCCCAGCAGGACTTGCCGATCGCGCCCTCGGGTGCAAACACCTAGCACTACGCTCTGTAGGGGACGGGACAGACTACCCTAGCCCCCCAGCGGTTTGGTGGCACTAAGCCTATGAGTTGAGCTAAAGTGATGACGAAGGTCCCTGGAGTCAGAGAAGCCGGGGGTTGGGGGGCGGGGGGTCGGGGGGGGGGGGGGTGACGAGGACGGGCCGGGACGGTCTCAGGTGCAGGGCACTTCCTGGCCGTCATGAGGAAGCTGGCCGCCGAAGCTGCCCTCCCCGGACGGGGAGTACGGGGGCACCTGGGGCGCCTCGATGATCAGCAGGCCCTCGGGGGACAGCGAGGCGAACACCGTGGCGGGATCCACCTCTGCCGGCAGCCTAGGACGGGAGCACAGGGTTAGTCACGTACGTTAACGCGGTCCGCACGTCCCTCTGTCCCTCCGACAAGAGAATGCTTTTGGTAAGAGGTCCGGCTTGGGGTGTCCGTGCCGGGCCTGAGTCCGGCTCTGCCCCTTTCTAGCTGCGTGTGGTCCTGGGCAGGCCGCTCGGTCACTCGGGGCTTGTTCTCTCTCTGCACCGTGGAGATGGTTAGAGTAGAGTAGGGGTGTCGAACTCAATCAGAGAAGGGGCCAAAATCTAAAATCCAGCCTAAATCGCGGGCTGAATGGTTTACTGAACAGTCATAAACTGTCATTGTGATGGAAACGCAGCGGAGTGCAGTGATGACAGCGCGGTGCGGGCCACATGGCAAGGCCTGGCGGGACGGATTTGGCCCACGGGCCTTGTGTTTGACACGTGTGGAGTAGACGATGGTTAGAGTAATTCCACGTGCATTGCGGGTGGAATTAAAGGATGGAATTGTGGGTGGAATGAATGATGGAATTGCGGGTGGAGTTAATGATGGAGTGGGCAGTCTGGCCGAACGGGTCAGGCTGGCCGCCTGGCAGAATGCCCAGGCCAGCGTCCTCGGGGATGTGTAGAATGACTAAGCATCTTAGGTGTTTGCAGGAGGTGATAGTGCTTTGTCCCCTAAACACACGTGTAGGCATGACCCCGGCAGAGCTGTGCGGCGGGTCCCGGATGGTTCACAGGAGCTGGTAGCCCGCAGCATCGGGCATGTATAACGGGGAAATCAGAGGACAGGCTCTCAGAGCGAGCAGGCGTCAAGGATGGGCTTTCTGGACCCAAACCCGGGTCCAGTTCTGAAGCTGTGTGTATGGTTCGGGGGGTTGTTTGCAGTGGATGAGGCTCCCCAGGACACAGTTTCTTCAACAAACTATTGGAACCAGGAGAAGCTGTGGTGGCCTCTCCGGGGTGCCTTTATGAGTAAAAATCACAAAAACTGGGCCTCTGAGCGTGTGCTGTGAGCCAGGTGCTTCCCCGAGTCATCTCCTTCCTGTGAACCATCGTCCCACCAGCCGGTTCTGTTACCTCCCTGATTCACAGAGGTGGAGGTCAAGGTCAGCGAGGAGCGATTTGCCCTAGGTCACACAGCTGGCAATTGGCAGGTGGGAGAGGAATTGGAATCCTGGTCTCTGAATTCGCAGTAGCTCTCTGGCGCCTGGCTTTTGAAAAAGGGACCATGGTGGGGGCGGGGGAGAGGAGGGGGCAGAAGGTTCAATCACCATCGCGCTCTCCAGGCCCGGCTGGGCCACGGGCAGGGCCCTGCCTGGAGGGGCAGCCGGCAGCCCGTGCGCTGAGTCTGCCAGGAGACGGGGCCTGAGGGGAGGAGGGTGAGACAGAGGGATCGTGGGCAGCTGCCTAGTCGAGCTTCTGAAGTGTGTGTCCCTCCTCCGGCTGCTGGGTCCGCTCTGCTTAACGGTCCGCATGCCAACCCCGTGGGCAGGGATACGGTGGGAGAGGGTGGCAACATTTTTAAACGTATTGATTTTTAGAGAGAGGGGGAGGGAGAGGGAGAGAGAAACATGTGGGTCCGCTTATTCATGCATTCCTCGGTGCTGCTTGTGAGTGCCCTGACCCGAGATCAAACCCTTGGCCTGTCCGGACGATGCTCTAACCCAGGCGTCTTCAAACTACGGCCCGCGGGCCACATGCGGCCCGCAGAGGAGTCTGATCCGGCCCGCCAGGTTTTTTGGGCAGTGAGCGCAGCCGAGGTGTTACAGTAGGAATTAGTAGTTCATATAGTCCGGCCCTCCAGCTCTCTGAGGGTCCGTGATCTGGCCCCCACTTTAAAAAGTTTGAGGACGCCTGCAACCCACTGAGCTACCCGGCCTGGGCCCTGAATTCAAATTCTGACTCTTCCTGATCGTGTGGCCTTGAGCCTGGGCCCTCGCCCCTCTGAACCCATTTCCTTAAGGGGAAGGGGTAACGGAAGTGTCGGCCTCTGCAGGTGGCGAGAACCCCGGGCCTGGTCCCAGAGGTGCGTGCTGCGGGTGAGCTGCGCACTGTTCCGGCCGGGGGCCGTGCGGGCGGCACCCCAAGGCTGTGAACAGTTCCACACAAAGCCCGTGTCAGAGCCCCAGAGAGTCTTCACGGTTGCCCAGGACAAAGCTCTCATTTACACGTGGGGAAACTGAGGCCCAGCGGTGGGGAGAGACTCGGTCAGGGCCTCCGACCAGCTGCCTGGTTTGGAGGTGCTAATGGGCCAGTTCCCAAGGAGGAGCCTGAGTCACCCTATGCTGAGAGCTTTCACACATCCCTCCTGCCCTGTCGGGGTGCCTCTGTGGGAAACGGGGGGCAGCAGCTCAGGCCGGTGGAGCCTGGACTCCCGACCGCCTGGGTGAGGTGAGAGATTTAACCTCGGGCAGCGGGGCACGGGCCAGTCAGAGGGGGAGGATTCCGGCCATGGCGAGGGGCGAGGGTCCCGGGGGCCCTTTGGTGTCTGGGATGTGAGGAGCTCTGGGGGGTCCTGGGCAGGTCGGGGTGGCTGGTTGGTTGGGAAGCACCAGGGGCGCAGGGCCCTGCTAGTGCGGAATGGTCACAGGACCCACATGCAGATGGCCCCGTTCTAAGGGGACCAATCCTTCCTGCCTCAGTCCCCTTCACAGCGCAGCTCGGTCTGTGAGTGGGACACCTCATCTGAACCTCTTGAGAGAAACATCCTCGCCCTCCCCCCACCTTTCCCCGCCGCGGCTGGACCTGGAGCCTGGCCGGGGCGGGGTCCTGGGAGGCGGGCCAGGCAGCAGACAGCCAGCCCGCTGCCTTATGGGGAAGTGCCCGCGGCGGCCAGGAACCTGCACGGCAGGGGTCAGGCCAGGACACTGGGCCGGGCCTTCGGGATCCCGAGGCCAAAGGGGGCCCGGGAATCCGGCTCCCGGCTGGCGGGGGGGAGGACTGACGGCAGCAGGGATAACAGTCCTGCCCGCGCCCGCTCGCCGGGGCTGCGGCGTGCGGGCTGGCACCGCCGTCCCCCGGGGCGGCCCTGGCCGGTGTCACCCTCCGTCCTCCTCCCCAGAGGCCAGGGCGTCAGGGAGACTGGTGGCTCGGAGCTGTTCTCATTCTGCCTGCAAGGACCTCTCACCCCCGGTTCTCCACCATCCGGGAGGGTGGTCTCTCCCGCCCAAAGGCTCAGTCAGGGCAGCCCAGAGGGCAGGGCGCCGCTGGAAGCACACCTGGCAGGTGGCGGCTCAGAGACAGGGCGTGTCTGTGCAGCATTAGCGCTCACAGCCCGTGGGGCTCCGTGTGGCTCTGCGGGTGGCCTGCTCTGCTGTGACATTTCCCCCTTAGGGTGAAGGCTCCGTTCCCTGTCCCTCGGCCAAGGCTGGTGTCTCACAGGAGAGAGGCCCAGGAGGTCAGACCCCAGAATGCGGTCCCAGCACCCCCCCCCCCCGCCCCCACCCACCCGGAAACGCACCCAGGGGTCACTTACTGGATCTTCTTGGTGAAGTTCTTGGACACAATGCCCCCCTCGTGCTGCTTCTCTTCGTGTTTGCCTGGAGGGGAGGAAGGCCATGTCAGGATCGGAGTCCCCTGGGCTCCCGCTGACAAGAGCCTCTGCTCAGGTTCAAACCCTGTGCCTGCCCCCGCCCCCGCCCCCGCCCCCGCCCCTGCCCCTGCCCTGCCCCTGCTCTGCCCCAGCCCCAGCCCCAGCCATAGCCCCTGCCCTGCCCCTGCCCCTGCCCCAGCCCCTGCCCCAGCCCCTGCCCCAGCCCCTGCCCCTGCCCCTGCCCCTGCCCCTGCCCTGCCCTGCCCCTGCCCCTGCCCCGCTCATGGTGTGGTTTGGGGCTCCCGCATTCTGAGCCTCAGGCCCCTCACAGAACCCACCTCCCAGGCTGCTGAGGAGATGAAGCAAGACAAGGACAGACAGGAGACCTTGACGGCAGTTTGTAGACAGTGACGTGTTGTCAGGAAACCAGGGAGCCGGGGCCCGGGCGGTAGTGCATCTCCCGAGCCCTCACTGACAGCACCCGCCGCTCAGCAGCCGGGGGAGCCCTGGGCGAACACCCTGGAGGGGCCCGCTGGTGCACAGCTCGTGGGCCCTCCCCGCCTCCCAGGGTGCTCAGGGTTAGCCCTGCCACCGGAACCCGGGCCCAGCCCGGGCTCTGAACCTGCTCTCTCTGACTCTAAGCCGGGTGCTGGGTCCGATCGCCTCTGCCTGGCCCAACTTCCATTTAGCCCCAGTCCTGTTCCTGCACCTGGTCCTGAGAGAGCGGCCGGCCGGCTGCAGCCACGCTCCAGCCGCTGGCCAACCCTTGCAGTTGACACAACAGATTCTGAGCCTGGGGCCGTTTCCCATCCTTACTTATTTAAATGGAGGGCATCTCTGATTTCTCTGTAAGTAGGAGTTAGTGTCGGAGAGCCACTCCCCTCCTCATCTGTGGGGCCACCACGGCCCAGGGCGAGGGACCCCATTTACTCAGGGACCCCCTCTCCTCGGAGGGGCCTGGGGATCCAGACTGAATACCCTGGTGGGATATGTTACTTCCTGCGGCCCCAGATTTTGAAAAACTGACCATTGATAGGTAACTACATCATTAAGTGCTTTTTTATTCATTGCTCCTTCCTCAATGACTTTTTCCTGATTACGAGATAATGCATGTGTAAGTGAGGAAATGTAGAAAATAATGGGAAAAAAAAAATCAAAACGGCCCATCACCCATCGCCCTGAGGCAGCCGCCAGCGTTTCTGTGGATGTGGATGCCCAGACTCGTCGCTCTGCGCTCAGAAACGCACCGACGTCACACGGGCGGCTGCGCGTCACACGGCGTGTCACGGGGACCGCGGTGTGCGCGGGCTTTCACACCCTGTCACACTCTCTGCAGGACTATCTTTCTGTGGCAGCGATGTTCCTGGACACGGTTTTTCACGCTGCCGGGCGCTCCCCTGGGGCCACACAAGGCCACGCAGCCAGCCCCCCCCTCCCCGCTTTGGGGCACCGGGCGGCTCCCGATGGGAGAGAATATCCTTGGGCTTCTTTGAGGTGGATTCCGGGTTCTAGAATGTCTGTGCTGCTCAATCACCCAGCTGGGCAGAAGGGGCAGTGACAGGGAGTGGTGTGGACACGGGAGTGTCTGTGAATGTGCCGATGCTCCGAGAGTTTGTTCCGGCTGCCAAGTCCCTGACCACCCGCTGCCCGCACCCACACCGGCCCGCAGCCAGAGGAGCCCATCGGCCCCCGTCCCCTCCCCGGAGCCGGGCCTCTGAGGCTGCCTCCCTTGGGGACAGGCCAAGTGCCTCTGACTCAGCCCTTCCGAGCGCACTGCGTTCTGGGAAAGATAGAGGAGGGAGCGGGGGACAGAACAATAACAACAGCAAACTCATGCAGCACGTGCGGGGTGTCAGCCACTGTTCCAGGCGCCTCATCTATAACAACGCCTTTCGTTTTCACACCCGCCTTCTTCTTGGAGTTTTGTGGCGAGGGAACAGAAGTTCAGAGAGGTTAAGCGATGTGCCCAGGGTCACACAGCTTGGGAGAGCAGGAGCAGAGGTTCAAAGGCAGGGAGTCCCTGCTCTGACATCTGCTTTTCTCAGAGCCTCCGTGTCTTGCTCTCTGAAACGGAGGTGACAGCCACATCCTAATTTCTGGGTTTCTGTGAGGAGTGAAGGACAGTGAGGCAGAGACTCGCTTTGTAAGCTGTGAGACTGCTGTGCGAAGGCGAACGCTCGTGGTTTATTTTGATGTTTGGGACAGGATTGCCCCTCGGAAGTGCACCCTCCCTGTCCATGCTCCGAGAACCAGGTTTTGGGGTCAGGGAGGAGAGGGCCTCTGATTCATTCCCTAAGGGGGCCTGGGATGGGATTCAGCTGGTTGAAAGAAGGTGTTGAGTCTTAAAGCTTCATTTGCATAGATTTGAATATCTACTTAGCAGGGGCAGTTGAAGGATTATTGAGTCATCTTCAATTTCTTACTTTGCTTTCCTGTTTATTTTCTACGTGGGGATACCGGTAATTTGACTTTTGTAAACATAAAAAAGTAATTATGATGATTTAAGAAAGAAAACCAGGACTCGTCTGCAGTCCAGGGACCCTAAGAGGCCGCTGGGAGCCAGGGCCCAGGGAAGGAAGAGGCTGTCACCAGGCGGGGAGTGCGATGGGGGGGCGGCTGGGGGAGGAGAAGGGCTGGGCATACGGTCTTGGGGGCTTTCCAGTCCCTTCCTCGGCCACAGCCTGGCCCAGTGGCCAGGAGGGAACGTTTCTTGGCCCGGGGCTGCAGGGCGGGGGTGGTGAGAGGCATGCTGGGAATTTTCTGGTCGGGCACCATCAAACACTGCCTCGGAAGGACGCTCACAGGTGTCAGATAAGACAAGGCGTCTCTCAGAGGCGGAAACCACGTTAGCAAACTCAGCGTAACGCTGTTTCACGTGGCACCTTCTAGAATTCTGGCCCCCTCCTCCAGCCATTCCTCAGATGCCTAGTGACAGCTGAAAGAGCCCTGTTTGGCAGGCACTGACCCCGTCCACCTTCATGGTAACGCCCAGGGGAGGAGGTGGTAGGGAGGTTTTGCCCCGGGCCACGCAATCAGAACCGGGAACTGGCTAGGCTGGCCTAGCTTTGAATTTCAGACATTGCCATGGAGAAGTGGGTGATCTCGGTGAATTCCTCTCCCTGGGCCTCAGTTTCCTCGTCTGTAAAATGGGTATAACAAACCTAGCCATGTTTACTCAAAAGTCCACACGAGGAAGCAGCGAGCCAGCCTGTGTAGGTATTTAGCACAAAGTGCGTGGGGAATGGGTTTGTCACTGTGTGCAGGAGGGGAGATGGTTGCATTTTAGACGGAGCCTCTGCTGTCGCTTTGGGGAGAGACTCTGTATGTCCCCTCAGGGGATCTGGATCCTGCCAAGCCACGGTGGCTAAGGGCATGCCTGTGAGCATTTACAGCCTCAAAAGGCGGATTGTCTGTCTTTGTCTCTTTTATGTTCCCCAGTGACCCCATTTCACAGATGTGGAAACTGAGGCTCTGCAAGGCGTTCAGAGCCTCTGGGTCAGTAAGTGACGCAGCTGGGATCTCGGCTTGGGGCTGCCCGGTCCCATTGCTTAAGAAGCACCTGGGAGAGGGGACAGAGGGGCTGGGCAGAGGTCTCCTGGAAGGGCCACCGGGCCCTCCGACCTGGGGTGGAAAACTCAGGAACCTTAAAACGAAGACAGAGAGGGTGGTCATAATGATGCCCATTTCCAGGCGCCAGGCGGGCACCATCACCGGCTGCATTTTACAGACACTCTCACGCTCCATACTGTCTGCATGGACGTAGACTTCCCCGTGGGACAGATATTATGATGATCCCATTCAGCAGATGAGGAAACTGAGACTCGGCGGGGAAAAGACGCTCTTGCCCACATCCCTCTAACAGTGCCCAGCGCGGTCGGGTGGGAGCCAGGACCCAAAGGCTGCCGGCCGTTTATGATCGCTCGGGGCCTCCCGTGAGGCCGGCATTTCAGCCACATCAGCTTCGGTAACAGCTTCGGGCATCTGTACCCACACGCTGCACGCACCCGCCCACTGCTCACCACCACCCTGTGTCCTGGGGCCCTCGGAACCCCAATTTCCATCCAGAATAGGAAGCACAGCGGAGAGCCGCTGCTAAGTCATCGGCACAGCCTGCTGGTCTCGGGGGAGCCTGTCTCGGAACCCAGCCCGCTGCCCGGCCGCGGCTCCCGGAGCCCAGCTGACCCCCCGGCAGCACGTGGCCCCGGCCTGACTCCGATGTTTACCGTTCCCACCGGCCTGCCGGGCTCTGAAACTCCCCTGAGCCCTTCCTGCCGGGGCCGCCCGCCCTGTCTGCTGTGTTTGCGAGGCTTTTATGGATTTTCTGGCGGCAGAGCTGCTGGGAACCGGCTCCTGTTAATGGAGCTCTAATTGCCGGGAAGCCTCGGAAAGCGTCTCCTGTCTCCAGCGGAGCGTGGGCAGGCCCGGCGCTTCCTGTGCTGACTCACAGCGTGACCTTGGGCGCATCCCTGGCCCGGCCCAGCGCTGGGACTGGAGGCTCTGTCCCAGGGTGGGAGGCGTGTGGGGAGAGGGAACCAGGGGTTTAGGCGGCCCCTCCGGCCCTCGTGGGGGCTTACATGACCGATCCGCCTCTGGACTTGAGCCTGGGGCCTCGGGAGAGTTCCCGGACCTCCGCTCCCTGGCCTGTGAGGGGGAGGCCACGGGCCCCTGCCCTCTGGCCCGCTGACTGAGGAGCTTCGGCGCAGCGCTGTGGGTCTGGCAGACAGGAGCTCAGCCAAGGTGACCAGTTCGTACCCTGGAGCCTCCGCGTTCTCACTGGGGACGAGGGGAGTGTCGCCCTTGAAGCCGGGCTGCGGCTGACACCCCACACTAAACGCCCCTCCCAGGCTGTGCTGTGCCAGGAACCCTGTTTCCCTTCTGTCTTTCACCCTCTGTGCGTGGGCCACTCCTTCCTCTGGCTTCCCCTGCCCCATGTCCGGCCGGGCTCCCGCCTCCGCCCTGCGGCTCTGATGGACGGGCCAGCGCCCCCGGGCCCCCAGCTGGTCAGGCCAGGGGAACTCTCCCTAAACGGAGCTTCTGGCTGCATTCCCGAGCCCTGAGGTCGCCAGCCTCAGCCCGCACAGTGTCCCCTCCCGTTCCAGCCTGCAGCCCCCACCCCCCTCCCCTCTCCCTCCTGCTCCCCACTCACCGGACACCTCCACGTATCTGTCCTTGGTCTTCACCATCAGCTCCTCCGGCTTGAAGCTGTGCACGTTGACACACACCTTCCAGGGCTCCCCGGGGAAGGGCGGGGGGCTCCTGCCATCCGCGGGCACCCCGAACCTGCTGGCGGCCGTGGGCACCCGGGGCACGGCGCCGGGCCGCAGGGACCCCGGCCAGGCCGAGGAGAGCCGGGGCATCGCCCAGTCGGGCCAGGGGGCAGTCAAGTCGTCGGGGAAGGGGTCCATGCCAAAGCCATCGTCCAGCAGGCGGGAGGAGAGGGGCGAGTCCCGGAAGGGGTCCCGGCGCAGGCGGCTGGGGTAGTGGCAGGAGAAGGGCATCTGACCGTCGGCCATGGCGGGGGGGCTGAGCCGGAGCACACGCGGAGGCTCAGAGAGAGGGCGCCGCCTGCCCAAGGTCACACAGCAAGGGGATGCGGTGGGCTAGCCTTCCCAGCTGATCCTTCAGCCTCCAAAGCTGCTGCAAATCCACTGCAGGGGGGCGGGGAGGGGCTGGGGGCAGGCACCAGGCTGGGGTCCCAAACCCCGAAGACTCTCCGGCCGCTACAGCGCCCCCCGGGCTGGTCCTGCGGGATCCGGAGCGCTCTGTCCTCACCGCCTCACCCGCGATCCGCCAGCCTCTGTGCTCCCGGGCTGTCCAGGCTCCAAGCCAGAGCCGCCGAGGTCTCAAGCGGAGCCAGGAGCTTAATAAACCCTGGGACGCGGGCCTAGAAACTTCTCCTGCCTTCTGGCTGGGAGCCTTTTATTTATAGCCGCTGCGGCTGGAGGCGGGCGCTGCCCACCGTCACCGGAGTATTCCGAGGTGATGAACTAGCCCCGCTCCCCAGGGGGCGGGAGAGCAGGGCAGCCCGCCCCCGGGACAGGCTCTCCGCCCCCAGCCGGCCCACCCGCCCTGGAGCCGCCCTCCCAGCCCAGCCAGCACTTCGGGCCGGCTATTAATAACCCCGTGCTGGCTGCAGGCTCAGATCTCCCTCTGCAAATACCCCGCTCCCCTCCCCCGCCCCGTGCCTGCTGGGACCTCAGGGGGACCAGGGACCCGGGAGCCTGGGTTTGAGGGCAGATGGTCCCAGTTGCAGCAGCGACAAGCTCTGAGCGTGCCTCCAGTGCCTGCCCCAGGCCCCGGAACCCACGTGAGAAATGGACCTCGGAGCGGGCAGCGCGGAGCCCTGAGGAATGGGGCGCAGCCTCCCGCGCTGGGCAGACCTGTTTTCAGTTTCGTTCCTACCCGCCAGCCGCCAGCCGCTGTGCCAGGCCCCTTGAAACCGCGTGGGCCTGGCGGGGCCTCTCTGTTGTCACTACAGTGTTAACAATGGAACTGCCAGCAGGTGCGCATCCAGGCAGGGGTGTCGGTCTGACCCGGGAGGCCAGAGAGGACCTGTTGTCCTGCTCCCCGTCCCCCCCTCCTCCCCAGGGGCTTGGAGAAGGACTGCACCCCCTTTGGTGGGAGGCCCACCTCTGATCAGCCCCAGCAGGTGGGCGGTCCCGCTGTGGGCCCTGCCGTGGTGGTGGGTGCGGAGGAATTCAGTGAGTCACCGGCTGAGAAATCCTTGTGATGTTCAGCGGTGCCCGCATGAGGCAGCTGCTAAAAATAAGAGCATGGAGGGTACCCGCACTCGCCACCCTCCACTGCCTGGCGAGCCCACCCTACGGCGGGGACCAGCTGCAGCCTCGCAACAACGGGTGTCCCCACCCCGCTTTGCAGGCAGGGATACAGGGGTGCGGGTTAGGACCCCCGCGCACGCGCGCGCGCACACACACAGCTATGGGCGGCGGGGCCCGGGAGGGGGTCTGGGTTGTTCTTGAATCTCTGATGCCTGCTGAGCGGACTGACTAGACCCCAGGAAATGCAAGTGGTGACCCCACCCGCCTCGCCCTCTGTCCGGGAGGGAGGTGAGCCCAGCCTGGCCACATCCCAGCGACCGGGTCCCCACTGGTCCCAGATCATCCCGCTGGGAGCTTCCGGCTGACATCACCGCTGGGCCGGAGCCTCCCGCTCTGTAGCTGCTGCTGGGCCAGCGCTGGTGTGGAGCCCGGATGGAGGGACTGGATGGCCCAGAGGGCGCTGCCTGGCCTGGCACCTGATCGGGGCCGGAGAGGGACCTGGTGGGTAGGAAGGGGGAGCAGCTGGTCCCATGGGTTTGGCGTGGGTTTGAGTGGGTTTGCTGTGGGTCGAGTGGGTTTGCCGTGGGTTTGAGTGGGTTGAGTGGGTTTGAGTGGGTTGAGTGGGTTTGCTGTAGGTTGAATGGGTTGAGTGGGTTTGCTGTGGGTCGAGTGAGTTTGAGTGGGTTGAGTGGGTTTGAGTGGGTTTGCTGTGGGTTGAGTGGGTTTGCTGTGGGTTGAGTGGGTTGAGTGGGTTTGAGTGGGTTGAGTGGGTTTGCTGTAGGTTGAATGGGTTGAGTGGGTTTGCTGTGGGTCGAGTGGGTTTGAGTGGGTTGAGTGGGTTTGAGTGGGTTTGCTGTGGGTTGAGTGGGTTTGCTGTGGGTTGAGTGGGTTTGCTGTGGGTCGAGTGGGTTGAGTGGGTTTGCTGTGGGTGGAGTGGGTTTGCTGTGGGTTGAGTGGGTTTGAGTGGGTTGAGTGGGTTGAGTGGGTTTGCTGTGGGTTGAGTGGGTTTGAGTGGGTTTGCTGTGGGTGGAGTGGGTTTGAGTGGGTTTGCTGTGGGTGGAGTGGGTTGAGTGGGTTTGCTGTGGGTTGAGTGGGTTTGCTTTGGGTTGAGTGGGTTGAGTGGGTTTGCTGTGGGTCGAGTGGGTTGAGTGGGTTTGCTGTGGGTTGAGTGGGTTTGAGAGGGTTTGCTGTGTGTTTGAGTGGGTTTGCTGTGGGTTGAGTGGGTTTGAGTGGGTTTGCTGTGTGTTTGAGTGGGTTTGCTGTGGGTTGAGTGGGTTGAGTGGGTTTGCTGTGGGTGGAGTGGGTTTGCTGTGGGTGGAGTGGGTTGAGTGGGTTTGCTGTGGGTCGAGTGGGTTTGCTGTGGGTCGAGTGGGTTGAGTGGGTTTGCTGTGGGTTGAGTGGGTTGAGTGGGTTTGCTGTGGGTTGAGTGGGTTGAGTGGGTTTGCTGTGGGTTGAGTGGGTTGAGAGGGTTTGCTGTGTGTTTGAGTGGGTTTGCTGTGGGTTGAGTGGGTTTGAGTGGGTTTGCTGTGTGTTTGAGTGGGTTTGCTGTGGGTTGAGTGGGTTGAGTGGGTTTGCTGTGGGTTGAGTGGGTTGAGTGGGTTTGCTGTGGGTTGAGTGGGTTGAGTGGGTTTGCTGTGGGTCGAGTGGGTTTGAGTGGGTTTGCTGTGGGTCGAGTGGGTTGAGTGGGTTTGCTGTGGGTTGAGTGGGTTGAGTGGGTTTGCTGTGGGTCGAGTGGGTTTGAGTGGGTTTGCTGTGGGTTGAGTGGGTTTGCTGTGGGTTGAGTGGGTTGAGAGGGTTTGAGAGGGTTTGCTGTGTGTTTGAGTGGGTTTGCTGTGGGTTGAGTGGGTTGAGTGGGTTTGCTGTGGGTTGAGTGGGTTGAGTGGGTTTGCTGTGGGTCGAGTGGGTTGAGTGGGTTTGCTGTGGGTCGAGTGGGTTTGAGTGGGTTTGCTGTGGGTGGAGTGGGTTTGCTGTGGGTTGAGTGGGTTTGAGTGGGTTGAGTGGGTTGAGTGGGTTTGCTGTGGGTTGAGTGAGTTTGCTGTGGGTGGAGTGGGTTTGCTGTGGGTTGAGTGGGTTTGAGTGGGTTTGCTGTGGGTTGAGTGGGTTGAGTGGGTTTGCTGTGGGTCGAGTGGGTTGAGTGGGTTTGCTGTGGGTTGAGTGGGTTTGAGTGGGTTTGCTGTGGGTTGAGTGGGTTTGCTGTGGGTTGAGTGGGTTTGGGTGGGTTTGCTGTGGGTGGAGTGGGTTGAGTGGGTTTGCTGTGGGTGGAGTGGGTTTGCTGTGGGTGGAGTGGGTTGAGTGGGTTTGCTGTGGGTCGAGTGGGTTTGCTGTGGGTTGAGTGGGTTGAGTGGGTTTGCTGTGGGTTGAGTGGGTTTGAGTGGGTTGCCACCCGTGTCATGCCGGAAAGGCTAAGCCAAGTCCTGTCTTGCTGACGGCTCGGAAGGACGGCCTCGGCTCATTCATTCTCTGGCGCATTCGTCCAGACATAGTTCTTCGTTCTTAGAAGCCAAGCACCCGCGAGGGCCAGAGCGGCGCAGCGCGGGGACGGGACAGACGGCTGGCTCTCCTGTCTGGCAGTGAACACGCCACCAAACCACTGGCAAGTGTTGCAGGTGCTGCCGTCGATGAAGGAGATGGAGGCTGTGGCTCCCTTTCTGGCCCCACCCCCTGCAGCCACCCTCCTCCCTCACCCTGAGTCCCATGGCCTCCTGTCCGTCTGTCCCTCAGACAGAGCCACACTGTTCCCGTCTGAGGCCCACCCCCTCCGCCGCCACCACTCCTGGGCTGGCCCTCCCCTTTGTGACCCTGAAATGGCCCCTCCTCCGAGAGGTCCCACCGCTCGGCCTGAGTCCCTCTCATCAGCCGCTTCCTCTCTTCAGCAGCACTTCTGTCTTGTTTGTTGTTGGCCTCTTCCCTCCGAGCCAGCCACGAGGGCCGAGGGCAGGGACTGGCCCTGAATGTGGCCGGGTCAGCGGCACCAGCACAGGACGGGCGCCTGCATCGAGCACAGCCAAGTCCTGGCGCCTGTGCTGTGAGGAGTGTGGGTCGGTGAGTGGGAAGCAGACGCCAGCCTGAGGCTGCCGGTTCAAAGCCTTTGGTGTCCGAGCTCAGGAACCAGCTGCCTCTTCGCTGGCTGCCTCCCTCCGCATGCCGCTGGCCTCTCCGAGGAGCAGGGCGCCCGCCTGGCTGGCCACAGCGCCCCGGGTCCCGGTGAGCCACGGGCCTCTGCTCCTCCGAGCGCGGGCACCTCAGATTTATCTGCAACGAGGGCGAAGCCTGGCTGTCCGACCTCTGTCCTCCTGTGCTTATTGGTGTGGCTTCCGAGAGCATTCCCAGCGCCCCCTCCGAGGGCCACCCCTGCGCCGCTGCCAGGAGCCATGGGGTTCTGAGGCCTTTGGGGGAGGGAGGGCTGGAGGGAGTGCCTTTCCCAGGGAGCTCTGAGGTCAGGGCAGAGCTGGTTGGACCAGTTGGTGACCCTGACACTAGGCATCTGCTTTGGAAAGAAGCTTGTTTGTCTGTTTGTTTTGTGTGTTGCTTTTGGGTCTGGGAATTGGCAGCTCGCTCCTGGGCGGTTCAGCATGAGGGTTCTCATGGTTTGTGTGTGTGTGGGGGGGGGGAAAGGCTGGGGGGGGGGGCGGAGAAAGAGCTGGGAGGATGGTAGAGATGGACAAGGAGAGCTGTAAGCATACAAGACATCCTGTTTGGGGCTGCTTCACCCTGAATGTGAGATGAGCTTTGACTGTGAGTAGCAGAGTCTACTTAACAGCGGCTGAAACAAGAGACAGGTGTCTTTCCCTTGTGCTCAAATCCAGACTGTCTGGCACTGACATGGGGCTCCTGCTCCACAAAGGCCAGAAACAAGACCTTCCCATCTTCCCGTTTTGTCTCTATGGGCTCCATACCCCGAGCCACTCATGGACCAGAGGGCAGCTTAAGTTCCAGCGTCATACCCACATTTTGTCTAGCAGGAGGGAGGGAGGGAGGGAGGAAGGGAGGGAAGAAGTGGGGGAGAAAGGAAGAGCACACACACAGATCTATAGACATTTCTGAAAGCTACCATACAAAAAGTTCTGCCTATATCTCATTGGCCAGCATTAGTCACATGGTCACACCTAGCTGCAAGGGAGGCTGGGAAGTGCAGTCTTTGGGCAGCTATGAACCCAGTTAAAAATGGAGGGGTTTTATTACTGGGATGAAAGGGCAATATCTCTT